GGCCTGGCAGCTGAACGAGTGCAGTGAGTCTTTAAGACTGATCCTCCCCAACTATAGAAAAAACTCATCAAAGCTGAATTTTTCCTTCAACCCCCAACAGCTCCTTCAACCTCTGGAGCTCCGCTCGGACAACGGAGCGGTTATGACATCCCTGAGGCACCTTACTCAGTTTCTCCTCCGTCTCGTGTTGACAACTGACAGCATCTCAGTCACGGGTGGAGGGAGGGTCCCCCCAGGACACAGCCGCCCCATCCCCATCCGCCCAGCGGGAAGCTCTCCCTCCAGCAACAGATGCTGTTGTTCTCCTGCACCATCAATCCCTTTCAGGAAGGGACAGGGATTAGATGAGGGTAACGCGTCTTAAGGTAATTTCTTTAAATGGCATTTTGCTGCCCGGCTTTACTGTCAGTTGCTGGCGGGGGGCTGTGATGCTTCAGCTCGCTCTGCAGCCCCAAGGGCCCCACGCCGTGGCCTGGGTCTCACTGTGATGGCCACAAGGGTGAGTCACGTAGGTAACAAGGCCTCCACGCAGAGATACTACCCTCGGTGCCTTCTTTTATATTCCACCAGGTAAGCAGCTAACCTGTGGATCAGGGGCAGACCAGCCGCCTGCTACACAGAAGAGGCGGCGACCACCCCAGGCAGACCCTGGTCTAATTAAACACTACCAGGGGGCCACGTTTTGTGTGAAAAACATTTAAGCGGAACGCTGCTGTGGGCAAGCGAGAGGAACAAAATCCTGCTCTCAAGGGTTGTGAAGTAGAGAGGGGTTTTCCATCCCCAAATTTAGTATTTTCTTTTTCATCTCAACTTTCTCTGCATCCCCCCCCCAGGGAAGTGGAACAGAAGGAGCTTTTCTGCTGGACCCAGCAGCATCTCATTCAAGACAGACCTGGTGGGAACAGAGATGCTGAGTTAAAGGATGATCCTGAGCAAAATCCACCCCTAAGCAAGCTGACCATTCCAGACCTGCTCCAAGGAGATTGTGGGGATGCCAGAACCATAACCAAGGTGGACCGGGGCCCTGCGTGTGGCTGCTGCCAAGGAGTGCTCTGGCGGGGCAGCAGCACCTCCTTGCTTACAGCCCAATGCTGTGGCTCACTGGATTTTGGGCACGGACCCTGCCTGCACATCTGGTGCCTTCTGCTCCTTCTCACGGCCCAGCTACTGCAGCAGCTACTGGTGTGGTGCTGACCAGATGGTCTGACTGCCCCGCTGCCCTCCCTCCCTCCCCCATTATCGTTTGCTAAGATCTCGCTGCTTCTCCTGGACAAGGGACCTTCACTTCTTCACATCGCTCGACTCTCTGCGTTACCCTGAGCTCTGAGGTGAGTATATGTCCCACCTCGAGGCAGTGCTCACAGGAAAGCTGCTGACTTCTTGCGACTGATCTTCACGTCAATGATGGAGTCATTCATACTCTATCAAAGGTGTTCAGGTTGTGGTTTGTGTTGCCCCTCTGCTATTCTCACACCTTCACCTTGTAGCAGAGTTCAGATTTGTTCTTGTACGCTGCAGGAGACTTGGAAGTCCCCATCTTCCAGCATCACCCAGTGTAAGTTCCCTTCACGTGAAGCTCAATGCTCCTTGCTCTCCAGCTGGCCAAGCTTCTCAACTTCCCTTGTAAGCAGGCCAGCAGCTCTGGTGCACCCTACCAAGGCACGTTTAGCATTTGTTCTCCTGTTCTGCAGAGGTTGGCCCAGTTCCTGTAGGGAGGATAGAGGCTGAGGAAGATCCTGGATCACAAGTCTGCCCTTCATCCCCACGCTTCTATCCACAGAGGTCAGAACTACTGCAGTGGTCCTGGAGTTGCTCCACAAAGCTCTTTTCCAGCTCCTGGATGTGTTTCCACACAGCACAAACTCTGGTCTGGAATAAGAGCACGTGCTCGGCTGCAGCTCCGTCTCGGCTCAGCTACCTGGGGCTCTTGCTTTCCTGCCTAGTTCCTGAAGTAGAGCTACAGCTCTGCACTCAGAATCCACAATGAACACCTACGTGGATACGTGGGTCTGGAGCCACGGAGAGGAGGGTGTGCAGTACGGACAGGTGATCACAGGCAGTATAATCTTTACTAATTTGAAAAACTGCTTTCGGTTTTGAGGTGCCTTTGGAGCAGCGCGTGGCTACCGGTGCCACGAGGTCACTAAGGAAGGCTGCAGGCTCCAACAGAAAACCACCGCAAACCCCCTGCTTAACCAAGAGACAGCTGCTGGCCTCTTCCGTGCACGTTCCGCTCAAGAGGGGCGCTTGTCCTTCTTCAGTCTGAAGTTCAGGAGCACATTTCAATCCTTTACAACAGGTAAGCTTTTGATTTAAACACTAACAGCTCCAGCTCAGAGGCGTGCTGACACTTACTACCGTAGCAGGGGGGGTGGGAGCAGGGAGAGATGAAAAACGTCTAGGTTTGAGAGCAGCTTCAGACTCAGGCTATTGCATGCTACTCCTTACTCGTGTAAATTTACAGGCAGCTGTAGTAAGTTCTTCTGGGAGTTTTCCTTGGGGAGAGACTGGGGAAATTTATTTAGTTACCAAAAGGCCAAGCCTAACACTATTGCTTTGAACTGAACAAAGGCTGAAATACAGTGAAACCGCCTCTAACGCAGCCATTCTGGAGCAGTCTAGTTTGTGTTCAAGGGCGATTCATCCACACAATGAACCGTGAGATAAAAATCAGATTTCTAAATTTCCACTGGTAACTGAAGCACAAGAAACATCTTCAAGCCTTGGGGAAAAAAACCCCAGGGGGGAACAGACCTAGTCCCACACCGCCTTTCAGCAAAAAGCAACAAGCACAGGGGGAGGGGATGTTTCTGACCAGACACTACGAGAACCAAGACCAAACCGGTAGGAGCTGCGGAGCAGAATTAGCACTGGATTTCATGTTCCAGGTAAGCTTAAAACTCACTCAAACCATTCTTCAGGTGGTACAGCAAACAACCGGTCAGCCTCTCCCCTGCTCCGACACGGTTAGCAGATGTGACAGCTGTCACAAACTGTCTGTCCCCTGCCTCCGCTATGATCAAGAGACTAGAGCAGACACCCGCCTCACCGCAGACACGAGGATCCGTTCTGTAATGTACGGAGGACCAAGGCACAGCCCGCGCTGGGACACGCTGTCGTTTTCAGTGTTTCCCGAACAGCAGCTGATGAGAACTAGTCCAGACTCGCAGGTTTTGGGGCACGCAGCGGCGGGGCGGGGGTGTAAGCTGAAGTACAAGTTGACAAACAGCACTTAGCTTATCTCAGGAAGAAACCTGAGCCCGCTCTCAGCAGATGACTGAGCTGTAAATCATGTTATGTATAGCCCTAAAAGTATCATTAAGACAACTCGAAATAGTTAGTTTTCATTAGATAAGAAACTTCTTGGCTTGCAGCTATATAGATGGAAACATCTCACAGTCCTGTGTGCATTCTGTATCCATCTGAAAAGCCTCCAGCAGTGTTTTAGAAGGGCTAAAGTGCCATAAAAACACCCCCAATAGCCTTAAACTCAAGACTAAGTTGATAAGTTGTCTGTAAGAATGCAAGGCCTGAAGCTGAACCTGACTTAAGGACGTTTGCTCCTCTGTCATATCCCAGTTTCTTGGCACAGGAGGATTACTGGTCTAAGGTGTGAATGGCATGAAACTATGTAACAGGGTAGAGTGTGGTGACAGTAAGGCTGTTTTTTGTTGACACTCAGGTGAACTGTCACACAGCACTACGGAGTCTGGGGAGGGGGGCAAGCATCTGAAAACCATTACGTCGTATTTATAGGGTGGGAGTGTTCGGGGTTTCGTTGGGAGGCCCGGAGCTGTTTCTGAGTTTCACTCATTGGTATTTAAGGCTTGCACCACTTTCACTCGTTCTGATTACCCAATCAGTTCTCTGTTCAACTACGAGCTTTAAGTTTCCCAGGAAAAGGGTAAGCAGGCTGAAACTTTGAACGACAAGGGAGTTCTCTGGGCACACGTTTGTCTCTTCTGCTCCCACCAGTATAGGAGACATCCGCCTCAGTTTTGACTTGCAGAAGGAAATCAATACATGTCACTGAAGAACAAGTAATACAAGTAGGACAACTGAGGATACTGGAATCAATCTCTGAATGCTGTTAGCTGAAATATATTCGTGACAAGGCAGAACCTCAGCAGGAGCAGAATATGTAACCAGACCGCTTCCCCTGCCCCACGTCCATGCTTCACACCCCCCTTGCCCCATATGCTCAGCCTATGTAAAGTTAAAAAGCCCCAAACTAACCAAGCAGAATATTCTATGATGAACACGGGCGGTGCCTGTGCTACGATTCCGCCTTCAAGAACCTACCACTGCCATCTCCTGAGCCCTGTGCTGCTGCAGTTACTGGTTTTGATACAAACCAGACTTGGTAACTCCACACTCCAGCTTCTCCTCTGGCTAAAGGATGGTCTCGTTGCTTTCTAGCAATTTCAAGTGACTTGTTCTTTTTGGAGCAGTTTTGACGGGAACGGGTCTTAAATGAGAAACTTCCGAGAACTGCATCAGGGAGGGGAAAAATAACCCCTGCGAGGTGGGTCGGAACTGAAATTCTAAGCAATAAAGTCCCTCCATCCAGGAAAGGTTCGTGCCGCTCGAGTCAGTTTGAGAGCTGCTGTCGGGTCTGGGAATCCTGCCCGCAGTCGGAGGAGGGCTGCACACGGGACAGAGGCCATGCTGAGCGGGTCTTTTCAACGCCAAGGGCCAGCTGCAGGAAACAAGGCACGCTGGGCTGGCTTTCCGTAGAGCCTACTGAAGCCAGAGAGAAAGCGATCGAAACTCAGGGACAAAACCAGTGGTTTGACGCTAACTTTAGGAAGTGGTTTTCCAGAGAAAGGCAGTTGCATCCCTATCTAACAGCTGTTAAAGAGATACACATTTAATTGCGTTATATAAGGGGTGGTTTATATTCCAGAGAAAGCATGTCAAGTGTTTTAGTTCTACCTCTTTGGAATCCAGACTTTCTCCCTAGAAGATACTCCAGTTGACAAAAGGGCCTTGTTCAGATATCTGGGATCAACTGAATACATTTATTTAAAAGCAATTTTAAACATTAAAAAAGTAGAAATTAACACATACAGTACTCAAAAACGGTCACATTAAATACATGTGAATAGACATGTGTACTGATGTTTTACCTTAACATTCAATGAGAAGTCAAGATTTTAACTAGTGGCATGACCAGATCTGATTTCTGTACACGTTGATGTACTATGTAATAAAAAAATAAATAGCAACTGTTGTTCAACAGTAAATAAGACATCATCTGCAGAGCATACTTCCCCCTCTGGGGGCACCTTCCCCTGCCCCTCCCCCCAACCCCTTATCAGCTAATTTTCCATAAAGATTTAGACTTTCCAAATACTATGTCATATACAAAATTGCAGACAGTGGCTCATTGAGTTCAAATATAATACTGTACTTAAACTCAATCAATATCATACATTTTCAGATTTCTTATGACCCACAAGAAGCCAGAATAAACAGAACTATTGTTCCCGATGGAACTAATTTAATTTTATAAAATGCATATGTATACTATTTTAAAGAGCGTAGAAAAGAATAGACATTTGACTCTACATAATTTTACATGCCTAGGTTTTCTTTATATGATTTGCTTTTATCAGTTTATTTCAAGATCACTTAAAAATACAATTGACCACAAAAGTGAATAGGTTTTGTTCTTTAATGCAACTCAAAACATTGTAGTAATGGGTAAAATGGAATGCTAAATAAATGCTAAACCTGACCTCCTTTCCATAAAAAAACAGAATAAAGTCTGAAATACTGGAGCTGGTAATACTGAAGATTAGATGCCAGCAGGCTCTCTCACTCATTGCGTAATTATTACTTTTTTTCTTAATAAACTTCTGTAATAAATGATAAAACCATTAACAGCTGATAAATGTTTTGCAATTTTTCCATGTGGGGTTTAGACTGGTATTTGTTTCTATATTATCCACAAACAGAATTAAATATTCACTGACTACAGTCTTGTAAAACTGAATTAAAAATGAAAGCCCTCAGAAAGCCTGAGATGTGCTTTGATGAAACGAAAATCCTTCCACGCAGCCAAGACAATCTGCTTTGAAATAGCAGTACTAGGTACTGAAGCCAAAATAACATTTAAAGCGAGTAATACAAAGCTACATAGGAAAGTCATGGAACCTGCTACAGACAAACTATGGGAAAAACACAACTGCGGCATGTTTCAAAAGTTAAAAGAAGATGTTGAAAGTGACATAGGAAATGAAAGTTTCCACTAATACATTTAAGTGTTCTCTGGCAACGCAACTTCATACCAACTTTCAAGAAACCTCAGGTCAAATGCAGCCTTCCGAAGATTTTCTTAGAAATCAGCTTTAGAACAGTCTGTCTATTACCTGGTACTTTAAGACTATTACAGTTTAGTGAACTCTACTAAAACCAGCCTGGTACTTGTGATCTAAGTTCTATCATTAACAGCCTGATCAAATGCATGAGAGGTCATCCTAACTCCCGCTTTTTAGAGCGATTAAAGATAATTTAAATTTATCGTTCTATCACCACTTATTTTAGGTAACTAACTTTTAGCAAGGTTGAAGACAGAGGGAAAAAAAAAAAACCCAAATCATTTTTCAAAGAGCCAATTTAGCTATAAACAAATACTGTTGCAAGCTCACGTTAATCTGAATAGCAATTAAGTCAAAGTGTTCTTTTCCTCAAATGTAGCTATATGACTACAGTACTACTTTTGTACAAAGGCAGGTTTCAAGTAAGCACCTAAATGCATGCATAATGTCAACAGTTAACATTTTCTAGAAGTCCTTGGTTACTAAGAATTCAGTGAAAGAAACCAGCAAATTTCACATATATCTACTGAAGAACAATATGACTAATTTTCATTAAAGTAAGTTTTCGAATGAAATAAATTTGTAACTTTTTATAGTGAGGTAATATCACAGGGGAACTGCAATCACAGTTTGGCATAGGTCCACGGAATATAAACATGAAATGCTGTATGCACACCGTAAAACATTACTGTTACCTGTAAAGTCAGTGAATATTTTTCTTCATAATTACACTTAACTGAGCACTATATTAAATAAATACCGAAGTGGGTTTCATAGCTGTAAACTGCATACACTTAGAAACTGCAGACTTGATTTTGAAATTGTCCAAAACCATTCACTCATTCTAACTTTCTGCTAATTGTATATTGAGAATACCGAGTTATTAGGAACAGTCATTTCTGTACAGTTACATGGTTGACAGAGACCACCTATGTTTGGAAAGCTGGCAGTTCATACGTATTTTTAACAGCGTAGACAGAGATGTAAGTGCTAGATGCCAAGGATGGCTTCAACGAACCCAATAAGGCGTGCCAGGTTCCAAGGCTACCATAATACTGGCAAAGGCAGAATAACACAGTATATTTACAATACATATAATTCAACCTCATGAGGTGAAACTTAAATGGATTCTTAATTTGTAACAGCAGCTATATATACAACTGTGCACAGGATTACAGGGAGGCAGCAGCGTTTGCTTTTGCTAAAAAGCCCGTCTTGCATGAAGAATGTGCAATGCTCAAGTCTAGGATTTTTGTTTTCTTTTGTTTTTACTAGTCTGACAGAATGTGCACAAAGGACACTGGAAAGACCCCCTTCCTCTCTGGCTGTCCTTCGATGTGGCCGATCTGCAACACAGGAGAAAAACGGAGAGAGAGAGAGAGAGAGAGATACGTGTGCGTACACATGGAGTTCGTAGGCTGCATCTTCTTCATTCAGAAGCAGCAGAACTGCATGGATCCCACAGAGCATTTGCAAGTTCAAAGCAGACCTTGGTCAACATTTGGATTTGTGTAACAGAACAAAACTGAACCATACGAGCATATTATAACTCAGACAAATTAAGCCAACTAAATCCAAGGAGAACAAAGCAACGATAATTGAATATGCAAACCTGGAAGGGATACACAGACCACTGAATCTCAAGAATCTCACCAAAACAGAAGCCTTATTTTCTTTTGCCTGATGTATCTCGCCGCTGCAAGTTAGTCTGTGCCTTTCAAACCCATTCATCTGAGTTAACTGAATAAATCCTAAACATCTCACTTGAGAGAAATGTCTGCAACAGTTGTGAAGTTACTTATAATTGGCATGCTTCACTTAAAGCGATAAAGGCCCAGCTATTCTCTCCATGAATTAATACGATTCCTAATAATTTATGTGCATACTAGAGTTTATAACGAGTCACCGTATCATCTGATTAAGTATCCTCCATGTGTAACTTCGTACACATTTTGTGTAACAGTAATTTTTAAAGAAATAGCCAAGCACTTTTAAAAAAAAATGGCACCTTCTATATGAACTTTACGTGTTTAAAATGCACGATTATAAACAACTATCAAACTGATAGCACTGGAGTAGCAGCCTTGACTGACCACAGAAGCCTCTTCTCATCCTGCTACAGTGCTGCTCGCTGCTTTCAGCACAGGAGCGTACCTCCTTCCACCCACAAGCTAACAAAAATGGGAAAGGGAAACATGCAGGGCTGGCCATTTCCTTTTGCAGAGCCAAATTTTGGAAGCAGACGAGTCAACAGCCCTTGTTGCCGTTCTCAGAAACACTCAGGCTGGAGCGCTTCATGGAACTTGTCAGGCGTGTACCCAGGGATCTCAAAAAGCCACTTCACAAAACGGGTTCAGCCACTAATGCAAGCATGATCAGGGACTGGTGATACGGTTAACACACCAGCTTTTCACTGGGCATTGCTCTTTTGGTACCGTCCTTTCAGCTGAAAATCTTCCACACGGAAATGATGAGAGAGGGGAAACTGCGTAGCGGGAAGCAAACCAGCAAAGGTTGCGCTGCACTCGGATTAGGAAATCAGAAGCAGCACTGCAATAACAATTTGTTTTAATCAAAGTGAAATCTGTCTCATTTTCCCCAGTAATAATTCTTAGGTATGATGTAGCAGGGCTTTGGAGGCAAGAAGTAGAGGGTCAAGGGAGGGCTGGAGCTTTCAAGCGGGGCTGCGAAAAACCTGGCGTTGGCATCAGGAACCAAAGACAACGTGCGGTCCAGAGTAGGGGGGAGCGTGATACAAACCAATGGCACGGGAGGGAAGAAGGGAAGGAAAATGTTAACTACCTCTCATTTAAGGAGGAAAACCTCCGGCTTACAGCCCCAATTACGAATAGATTTTCAGACTTCCAGCAACCCCTGTAGGTATAACTTAGCATTTCTGGTGAACTGAAGATAATGACGCACCTCAATTCTCATGAAGAGTGTAAGCATGCTCAATGGAGTACAAATCGCCACCTCTTCCTTTAGTGAAAGGTTAGTGTGCGTCACAAAGAGTGACACATGTAAATTCGTGTTGTTACGAGCCAGCAATAAAGCCAAACCTAGTCAGGATGGTTCTAGCAGACTTCCAGGAAGAGACAGACCCTACCAGAGAAAGGGGGTCTTGTCTAATACGAGTTTGAGGGCTGGATGTTAGCGGAGGCAAAAAACTCCCAAAGCCAACAAAATAAAAACAAACCCACTGCCCACAAACCAAACTAACAACAGCCTCCCCTCCCCCCGAAAATTTGGAAAAGCAGCTTTCCTTTAAAAGTTATACAGAAGTTGGGTGGATCCATAAAAGATACATACCCACCACTCTTGGTCCTCTTCACCGGTTACAATAATTACTTCTCCTTCAACAAATGTGAGCTCATCATCATTATCTGCCTGGCAGTCATAAATGGTCTTCACTCGCCTGACTTTGTTTTTCCCCTAAAAATAGAATGAAGTTTTAGATGAAGGACATGAGGAGCAGCAAAAGCATATACATGATATGAATTTTGTCTTTTAGTTACGTTTTATTTTACCAGAAGGTGAAGACTACCAAATTACTTTCCCCACCACTAGGGACATAAAAATCAAAAAAACTCTGCTTCAACAACACATTTAAAAAAAAGAAAAATTACCTACACAGGTGTAGGTTTTCTTTTTCTTAAGATTCAGAACTCCCGAGAGACATTAACGTGTAGTGCATGGCTTAAGTAACCTGTGCTTCCTCCAGTAAAGAGAGTTTAAGTTACCTCTTCCCATTGTTCCAGTCTACAAACACCCTTTCGCCTTCACTACGTACTTCAATTTAAAAACCCACCATGAACAGAAAATGAATCCAGTCTCCTCTGAATGTTACAAGAGAGGTAAGGGCTGAGGAAAATGCTGCACTGAAATCCCAGTATTCCTTAGTTTTGGATCTAGTGCAAAAATACAGTATCCTTTGATTTCAGATCTGCTTGTAGGACTGGAAATTATTTTTTGAGTGAATTTTCATCCACAATGTTAGCAATTTCTTACTAAAAGAATTTTAGTTTCAGATGGCAATACTATTTTGCGATGGTAATTCACAACAGATATTCTCACAGCTCCACCATTCTGAGTCTAAATATTTTCTAGGTCACACTTTGCTGCATACTGCTAATTCATACGAAAAAGCCTGAGCCATGGGCTCCTCCCTCAACATATGTTTCTCACGGCAGGGAAAATGTTTTAAATTACTTCCAAATAGAGTAAGGAAGCAATATTCACAGCAAAACACTCCTGCTACTTTATATTCCTGTATTTTCACACCCACACTTTTTCAAAAGCTCCAGTTCCTTCTTTGAACAGAAGCAGTCAGGTAACAAGAACAAAAAAAAAAAAACACCCAAGAAAAGCACAAGGAGATGAGAAGCAGAAGGGCTACAAAGGAAAAAGTCAGCAGATTTAGAGGAATTTGAGCCAAAAGTAACTTCACAGCAGAAATTTCCTAGGGAGCCTTCTCTTTGCTATTACCTACCCACTTGAAATACCTCCCATGTTTTGGCAAAAAAAAAAATTCCCTGCAGATCAACAGCAGAACAGACATACCGCAAAGAGCACTCATACTAAACTCAAGGTACAGAAAAAGAACAATTACAGAGGGATCTGAGGGACAGAACAGTTAACACAACAACGTAAGACTAAAAAAAACCCCCATACTCAAGACAAATGAACAGAAATACCTGAAGTTCATATAAGATCAAAGGGTTTTTTACAGCAAGGGTTTGCTGCAGCAAGAAGTTACTTCAAAGAACCCTTTCTCCCTTTTTTAAACAAATTCATACAATTTGAACAAAACCATCTCAACTATCACTAGGGATTGGAATTCAATATTAATGGGTATTTGGGGCCAGTCCCAGCTTCCAACTCCACGGAACCTCCACCAACGAAGAGCACTTCCAGTCAGTCCTCCAGTGATGAAGGGAAGCAACTACTTCTGCCAGACAGAAATTGTCTCATTCAATAAAGAGACTAAAGAAAATTAAGTTCCTCTAAGCATAGAGAAATGTATGCAACTCGGCTCGTAACACATGAAAAATGACAGCAATTGCTCCTGGTTCCTTCTGATTAGTACCACAGACGGTATTTTAGTGTTCTGCTCCTTGCGCTTAGGAAAGCAGTAAAACGGAGAATTCAAGCCGAAGGGGTATTTAATCTTGGGAAGGTTTAAAAAAGGATGGATCTGAGGAGGGTATATATTCTTCCAGAACACAGTTCAGGGCACTGGTGTGTAAAGAAACAGAAGCAATTCTAGGACATGTACTTTGCCACTATAAAACCAATACCACCCACCACACCCCCAGCTGCTTGTATCCAGTATCAGTCCTTACGAAGAAGAGACTTTTATGCTTAAGACCGAATAATAATCAGCTGCTGTTGTCATTACTAATCCCTCCATGTTCTTACTTACATTCAACTTTTTTTTTTGTTGTTTAAAAAGAAGCATTTTGTCTCCTTTATAGAAAACACACAAAAGAACACTCAAGTACTCAGTGTGATTTTTAGAAGCACTCAGAGCAAGCTTCAGCTATCTAAAAATATCCTTTCAAGTCCTTACATTAACAGCATTGGTACTTCTACCTAACAATTCTGAACCATTGATTTTCTGAAACTTCCAATAAAAAAATGTGGGCTCATCCATTTAGTGGCTAAACAGTCCAACCCAAGAGCGAAGTACCCACAAGGACTAGTGGCTGCTGTCACGGGTCTCGCTGCTGCGCCGTGATGCAGCATTTCACCAGTTTGTGCAGAGGGGATAGAGCCAGAGGATGAAAACAGAAGCAAGAGGAATTCTTGCACATTATTACTTGAGCAAGAAAGACTGCGGTGAACAAGAGGAGATACATGTGTGCATGCAATCCGGTGTAGAAACTAGGATGTAATTACCACAGATACACCATAATTTTGATCACTGCAAAACAGTGGAACTACTTAATTCACTGCACAGGTGAAAATGGCTGAATTTGGAGAACACCAAGTTCTTCCTCAGAATTTTTCCGTATAAAGTAAGGTGAGAGTTTAAAAAAATAAACAAAACCCACAAACAACTAATCCGCTATTTGCTTGCTTTCCTTCTTTAATAAACTGACAAATAGCTGAGAATGTCCAGCACCATTTGCTTGCTTATATTTAAAAGTACATAAACAAACACGTTGTAGTTGCAGGCACCTTTTGCTCAGATCCCTGTGCTATTTTATTTAATCTCCAGAACACTCAGGAAGCCCAAGCAACAACCCTGTTGTTCTCAGTTCAGGTGGGAGCTTACAGACGAGTCCATGATGGATGCCAAGCAGAGTGATGGCTTCAGAGAAAGTGTTCTTCCTCAGACAAGCACAAGGAGAAACTCGCCCTCTGCTCTCACTGCAAGAACAGAAGTCTTATTTCCTTTTACATAAGTGCTTTGCATAGCCAATTTGACAAGCAAAACCATCTCCTTTTTGATGTATTCTTAATGATGAAAATCTGAAGAGAGCTCTGGAGTTTCACAAAATTATTTCAATATACATATGCATGAAGAATCCTCTGTTGGATGGAAATTGCACTGGTTAGCAAGAGGAGCAGCAAGATGATTTGGGGGTTGAACGAGGAGACTTGGAATCGAGTTAATAGTTCCAGCTCTCCTACTACCCGCCATCCCGCAATGCCAATTTCGCCACTTCAGCAATACGTCTGAACCTTTCTTAACCACTCAAGTACATCAGCGTTAAATACTGGAAGGTTTACTGGTTTGTCACAGTTGACTTTACATTTTTCATCTACTGCCAATGGATGCTAACATCCCTTCTAAAGCTTACAAAATTCAAAGACACAAATATGCTGCTCATCTAAGGCATACAAAGCAGAGAGCAAGAGAGCAGAGAAAACCACCAATTAATTCAGAAGTATGACTGGCACCGATGAAAATGCCCAAGTTCCCTATTAATTCTAAACACACTGTCACGCTCCCAAGACTATTGCTTTATATTGCTGGTATTTGTTTCAGCATACAAGAGGCCTCGTAAACCTCAGCGCTCGCTGAACCTGCCTGGGAGCACAAAAAGAGCTCCTCATTCCCCATCCTAGCCCGTGACATTATGTTCCTTTGTGTGTGCATAGCTCAAGGGTGGGATGGGTTTTTTTTTTGCACAGATAGTCCTACGGTAACTTCAAAGCCTTCCATGGATACTTCCAACTCACTGGAGTAATACCTACCATGTTTATTTTCCTCGGAAGTGGCACAGGGGTTTCCGGCAGGGTATGTGTGATGTCATTAGACTCTTCAGACGCTTGCCTTTGGACGGTATCTCTGGATTGTACGTTTGGAGAAAGATCTATGGAGAGAGATTTTTGATTTGCCTCTGAGAGCTGAGGCTTCGGTGATGCTTCTCCACCTTGAGTTTTAGCCAACAGCTCTCCCAGCTGAGGTTTTGGAGGAAGGTCCTTCATCTGCGGCTTTGGAGGTAAATCTCCAAGTTGTGGTTTTGGTGGCAAGTCTCCTAGCTGAGGCTTTGGGGGCAGTTCTCCAGGCTTTGGGGGTAAATCTCCCACTTGAGGTTTCGGAGTTAATTCCAGAGGCAGAGGCTTTGGGGGCAAGTCTCCGGGTTGTGGTTTCTGTGGTATATCGATGGATAGTGAGGGCTTCTGAAACATTTCCGTGTGCTGATGGGATTTATCTATTGAAAGATGATGACTGGTTTCTATTTTTCTTAGTGCCACTAAAACAAAAAAGCATAACAATGTTTTTTCACAATCTCATTTTACTATTAAAGAACTTAGGCACATCTCAAACCGTAATTGTGTAAACGACATGTTCACTGAGCCCCAATAACTGCCCGTATGTCCTCCTAGTCTATGACAAATGCAAGATAATACAACTTTACACAACCCTCTTCCACTGAGGTCTTATTTCACTGCTCCTCCTGGAGGCGAGGAGTGCTTAATCCGACTACTAGGTGTCAATTTATAGACTAACTACTTAAAATGAAATAAAGTGATCGCCTTTTGGACCTAAACTAAAAAATATATATATATATATAAGAAAAAGACACATTTTACAAAACAACCTATCAGCCCACTGACATGACTGCAACGACAATTCTCTTTAATGACAATTATTCACATTTACAGTTGAACTCCATACAAACCGCCCCCCCCGAGTCTCAGAATTAGTACCTGTAAAATCTTCAGAAGAGTGAGTGAGCATGTGAGTCCACACAGTGTATAAACTGTATAACAGACATTCATGTAAAACTAATAAAAACTAATTACTGTAAATATTTAAAATTTAGTAAGGATGAGAAGTTTTAAAAAGTGTACTTTGCAGATTTTATGGAAAGAAATTGAGAATAGCTTTTCAAATAGCTTTTTCTCAGCGTGACGTATTGATTCTACCGCTAAGCTCTGTAAGAAAACTTGTCGGAAATCTACCTTAAAAACAAAACTGTAAGAACAAAACAAACCCCCACAAACCGCTAAACCAAACCACGTTATATTAAAATAGGCGAAGGGGGGACAGGAGTGAACAACCCGTGTTGCAACCCATGATGAAAGCAACACATTTTGACTAGGAGGAATCGTTTCCTATCGTATTCAGCACTGCTGTAGTATCATATTCTACCAGCCGAAAAGGCGGCCTGACCTTTTACTACAAAAGCAACAACCCTCACTTTGGCTATCACCTACTGCATTGACACTGCCATGCTACATTTACGGTTATTTATACCAAAAATTTTTTGCATAATTTCCATGAAATAAATCGTATCGTTACTATCAGATGCCTCATTTAAAAAAAAAATGTCTATGTTGACACTTGTAGATAGATGGCTTTGTCTCCTGGGCTTATCTAGTAGCAAATGCACGAGCGCTGATCATCCACATTGGTTTGAGGCTTAAGTAAAGGATACGAAAAAACTGATAGTAGCCCTTATCAAAGCGCTTTGATTGAGCCCATCTTAGACGTTCATCTATATCGTTTTAAATCAAGGAAGCGCTGGCTTCCTTTGCAGTGCTGCCCTATCGCGTTATTGGTGTCTCTTTCAAAAGGTGACACCATGTCACAATAATCGTAATTTGATGAGGTTGAAATTTCACATTCGTATTTTCTGTTAAAACGATTACGCGCTCCCAGTTTCAGTCATCTAGCTTCAGAAGTTTGGACAGGCATCGTTTCCTGATCTTCAGGCTCCACAGCGATCAGCCACTCAGAGAGATATCCTGTATTTCTGATGGATTCTGTATCAGACAGAGCTAGGAGGCACGTCTACTTTCAACTTTATAGTCAACTCAAAAAAAGAAATAAAACCTGCTGTACGAGTTGAGAGACACTAGAAAAAACATTTCTAAAAGGAAAGGTGTTCACTGGGATGATGGTCTCAGCAAGTTTGTCACTGATATGCAAGCCAGTATCTAACAGCACCTGATTCTTTTCTAAGTAGTTACAAGGACAACAACCCTGACCCCCAAAACGTGGCAACAGGCACAACTTGCTTCAAGGGTATCAAGAAATTTGACCTACGGATTTCAGGAAGAAAAAAAGGATTTACCAACGAGAGCGGTCAAAGATAGCAGCGGGAGCCCGGCATGGGTTATCCATGGAGATACTCAAAATGCGACTGGACCTGGCCTTGAGCAACCTGCTCGCAGGGCAAAAAGTCGGCCCTGCTCTGAGTGGTGGATGGGCCCAGCCAACCTCCTGAGGTCTCTTCCACCTTCGATTAGTTTATGGTTATTTTTTTTTCTTTCCTCCTTATGTTCCATAGGGCTAACTTTTTTTTTTTTTAGTTTAATAAAAACCTTCCTGGCCTTCCAAAATCCGTTCAGTTTCGCTAAGCTTTCATGGTTTGTGGCATTTTAGAAACCACACCGTTGCTGAAAAGATCCATATATTTAAAACAAGTCTCTACTTTCACACGCATTTAACAGACACCGCAGTGAGGATACCCATGAGAGTGGGTACTCTCACAGAGAAAGAGAACTCTTACCTTTTTGAGGTAGTTTGGGAAGAACTCTAGGGCCAAGCGCAGTCTTTGCAGTCCCGGTGCTAAATCAACAGATGTGCATTATTAGTGCTTACAACTGTTATAAAATATACTTTTTCTTTTCCATTTCCCCCTCTACACATCCATAATTTTTTTTTTAAAAACTCCCACATTTTTTTTTTCCTTCTTTTGTATAACCATCTTGTCTGTGGATCAATCCTAGACCTCAAAGCACTGTTAAGAAGGAACTGCTTTTCTCAGCGAAGAAGATATACAAACCCCACACAGTTTTAATGCTACAGGGCAGATTGATTCTACAAACTATGCTATGTGCAAAATCGTACTCTGAAAATACGTGAAGCTGAAAGACCAGCTCAGTGGGCAGATCCTGAACTTTAAGGAGAATTTGGTCTTCAAAATAATTATACTGAAATATCCAAAGCACAATCTGTCCTTCATGTCAGTGGTCTGAAGTTTTCCAGGACTGAGCCTACGCCTTGTAGCATGAGTATGATATTGTAATACACACAACATGCACCTGCCCAAGGAGACAAAGCCTGTGACTCCAACGCAATCCTGGTGACTGTGAGAAAACAACATGCTTTACTCAGCCTGTGTTACAGCGGTGTTAGCTACGCGTAGTGGTAAGTGACAACACCAGCAGGACAGCTGCGAGTAATTTAATTGCAGCATAAAAGAAACCGAGACAGTTGCACAGAGCCGAAATGTTCCATCTCTGCTTTCTGTTGTAGGCGATTTTTTTTTTTCAGAACTCCAGGCTGACTCAAATTTGCAAACATGGCACGTGAGGGCAAAACATATTACAAGTTTCAGCAAAAAACAACCAAATTTCTTCCACTAAAAACGCACCCGCGTCACTTCTATAGAAAAGGACCGTGGCAGGAAAGAAGAAAGCCGATTGATTTAAGGCATAAAAATGAAACAAGAACTGATCAAATAAAAGTCAGCATCACCTCAAAATAATTCCTAAAAAAAACAAGGAAAAAGAAAAACAAGTGAGGAAGTTGCCAGAATACGTTCAACAGAGCAGAGTCTTCTGCATCATGGTCTTATTTGTCTCTGAAGCTAATGTTTCAAAATCAGTACGATGGACCACTTTTATCTTAAATTTCTAGCTTTTTTTAAATAGCCAAAATATATCATGACACAAAACTGAAAGAACAGCCAAGCTCAACCTTGACTCAATAACTACCTTCACCTAATGCCATCAAGCACGAGCACCACACTTCCACCCTTGTCTGACAAGCATCAAGTACGGCACCACCTCTCTGTGCTGTAGAACATCACCGCTTTCTCCCTGAACACCCGGTGCCGCCTGGATGGATTCACCAAACATGGGACGTCAGCTGTGCTACCAACACCACGCTCACTGCCTGTCCTCACAAGGCAGATACAGACCGAGGACTATCCACAAACTTGACCTACGCATCTTCTACTGCGTTTTGTTTGACGTTACGCTTTCATCTCCAGCCACGGCCTGATCACGCACACTTCTGGTCGTGCACGGTCTCCGTCGTGCTGCCTGAGGCACCTGTTTATCAGAACTACCATGCTTTGACCCTCAGGACTTTGGAATCACACCACAGACAAAGGAGTAACAAACACTAGGTGACAGGAACGTATGGCTATCCTTACTACTTCAGCTATTGGAAAAGACACTTGTAATGTACTGACCTGAGGAACTACGAGCTAAAAGCAGTTTGTGTTATTCCAGACTGCGTGTCAGCACATAAGCTCAACAGACTGGAAAACAGTTAAGCTGGAAAACAGATGAATTCTCTCTCTTATAGAGCTATCTTCAACGCCAGCCTGTACCCTGAGGGACACTTCGGCAGCTACAGGCGTGAGCCCTCACACTGAAGCCGATAAAATGAAATGCCAGGAGACATGAAAAATAAAACTTTTGTCCTGCTGGGCTGCAGTCGGAGGCAGCACTGCCCAGCTCAGAGAGCGCTTCTGTAGGAGCAGCAGATAGATTGTGGTCAATGTCCTTCTGTCCATCCCGCTCAAAGGGTGAATTGTGTCGGGACAGCAAGGAACAAAGCGTAGGACGCTCAATGAAGCCAAAGTATTTGTATGGCAGTAAGGCATGCAGAAAACTAATGCAGAAACATAGCTAGGATTTTATGTCATATAAAAGGCGCTTTTTTTAAAAAAAAAATTTACAATTTATTTATGTTTAGATAAATTTTCATCCTTGCCTTCATAATACACAGATTTTACCTTGACTGCTGAGACATGCCCTCAAACTTGTTTGCAGCCTTAGTAGAAGGTGGGCCCAAATCATTACCTGAGGTGAAAAAAGCACAATTTAAAAGAAAAAAAAAATAAATCATTAAGATAACTGAAATATAATCAGCAGATGGTGCAACTTAAAGCGACGTACACATTCTTCCAAGTATCCTCTATACAACATGGCTAAAAATTTTCAAGATCATTCTTTATGAATAAGTTTGTAACTGAAAAAGCAGCAGGGACCATAATGATCCAACTTGACCTTTCATCCAACACATTTTAAAACGACTCCCTGGTAGCTCACACCTGCTGGCAAGGAAAGACTGAATGACATTGCTGAGTTACTGCTGTAGGGCGTTCGTTTCGAATACAGTCTTTCAATTTTCTCTGAATAGAAGGAGATACTGCAGGCCAGTATCAAACAAATGTATCGCTGAAGTTTACGTTTTATGTTATGAGGCACGCCTTCTTAAAACCACCATAAATTCAATTTTATTCACAAAACATCAAATTTCTAAGGACTGGTATTTTATCCTACATAAAGAATCGCCTTTGCTGGTTTAATGACTAAGTCAGTATAGTACGTTACCATACCCTGAACATTAACCATTGGTTAAAAAAAAAGATCCTGGTTAAACTCAATTCTGTCAAAAGGCAGCAAAATCCAAACCCAAGCGCTTCTGAACTCCTTCAGCAGAAGTCTTCTCTTTCGTTAGCCATCATCGTTCCCACAGTACTTTAGTTAGTAGATTATACTAACTACTTTGTGCCTTTATCATTCCCCCTTCCCTCTTCTATTACAGCCTGTCTAAACAATCTTAGAACCAACTTCAACAACCATTAGTCAATTTTGTCTCCAAAATAGATGTAAAGTGACATTTAATGATCCAAGAACACAAAATACTTCCTCGGCAAAAGAATGACAGAGCTGCCTAGATACCATTCTTAGCGCATTGACGCCCAAATGAAACAGAAGGCTCATGCTGAGCCATGCTGAAAATGTTTATATTTAAAAGAAGAAAAAAAAAAGAAAAAGAGGGAAAAATAAAGGTGAGGCAAACAGCAAACCCTTCACATGCAGATCCTATGGATAAAGCCAGGAAAAATCTCTCATGGTTGCTATGGAAATCCAAAATAATCTAAGTGACATTTTTAGAACGTCTTTGAATAGCTCCTTGATTTGCTTAGACATAAGCTAAGGATTCTTCTGCTTGAAATTTCAATTAATGCACAGCTTAGAAAACAAATGCTGAAATTCAACATAACAAGCAATATAACAACACAGGAAAAAAGCTTCTGAAAGGGAAGGCATTGAACATCTGACAATATTCTTAAACCAAAAACCACAAAGGCAGACACAAGAAACTCCCTCTTTTATAAACACAAAACTTCATACTTGACTAAAACCCAAACGGACTTTGAAGCAATTTTTAGCAGAGATCTCAGCTAAGAAAAACGGAGAAGAGGCCCCTCTTCCATCCACTGACGTTCAGATAGCACTGCAGAGCGGCAAAGAGACAGAACGAGCAATGTTCTTCTGTGGCCCTGCTTTGGGAAGGTATTTTCCTGCTGTAAGGTTCTTCATCTTCAACTCCACACATGCACCTTTCTGATATTTTCTTTTTCCTTTACCTGTTGTCTAATATTTTTAAAGAAAAGTTCTCACTAGCTTAGCATCTGTTCCTACCGCACTTCTCATTCTAACAGAGTTACATCATATAGTATTCTAGTACATGGTATTTCAGGTGCTGGTTTTGACTTAAATATTTGGGCTTTTTAAAATATTTAAAGTCCAAGCTCTTCAAACTGTCTGACTACCTCTGAAATAGTACCGGGCTGTTAGTCTCCACAACACAGGAAATATTTTTTCCATATCCCAGTCATCTGAAAAGTAGAGAACTGAAACGATCGACATTATTTGTATTCCTTCAGAAAAAGACTTGGCTTTTCACAGGACTCTGTACTTCTCTTCATATTAAATCCTAGATTAAATCACATCTTCTACACAAGTACTCTATGATTTACCACATTTAACTGGATTTGCTGAAAAAAATGGTGCTTTTAGGCTAGCAATTTTTTTTAGGCTAGCAATTTTGTGTTTATATTACAACAGAGAAAGCATACGCCTAAGATAATTAGCGTCTGGATGACACCCCTTATGTAAGGACTGGATTCCTTTACAGGAAGTTTACAGATTTATAGAAATTCTGCCACCAAGACTAAAATTATAGAAAATTACATGGGCCTGAGATTTATGGCTACCGGGAGAAGTTGACTGCATAGAGGAAGGTTTATTGAAAAGAGGAAGAATTTGAGTAGACTGGAAAACAGTTTCTAAAAGCTTCTGTCAGAAAATATCCTGTTAAAAAAAAAAAGAAGAAAAAAGGGAAAAAAAAAAAGTGCTGTTTCCGTATAACTTCTGCAGGTAGAAGGATGCAAACCCACCAGTCTTTGTATATGTCCAGACAACATCACAAAACCCCAAACCATACTGAGACAACACATCCCCACCAGCTGGGTGCGAACACCTTACAGGAGCGATTTGGCACAGAGCCTAAAGACACAAACAAGCTTTTCTGGCAACCAGGAGAACGGCACAGATTCATCGAGGTCTATCTGCCCCAAATCAAGATCCTTCTGGATTAATGAGCTGGTGAGAACAGGAGCAGGGGTGAGGAGGCAGATGCGGAGGAGATGCAGCGACGGGGGGCGGGG